TAGGGAAAGTGTTTCTTCTAACTTACTGCAGATCAGAAATACCTGCAGAACCAGTGCTGCCAAAAAGCACAGATTTAATGCTGATACAGGCTAGAGTCAAAACAATAGCAGCACTTGTAACAAGCAACAATAGCTTCTTACACCAGTTGTGCAAATGAAACAACTCTAGGCATTTGTTACATGATAAATTATTGTGTCTTCAGTCAGGCTGCAGTGAGTTCAGCTGATGTCCATGGGTGCCTAAAAATCACTTTTGAAGCAGCAAATGCATATTGTTTGGGTTTTGTTTGGGTTTAAATAAAAGAAAAATCCTGAGCAAATTATTCAGGGACTTCCTATATTTATCTGTCTGCGGGCAGAGATCTTTAAAAGCTACTTGGGCCCCAAGAACACATTCCTATGAGGAACTGAAGTTTGTCCAACACAGTTTTTCAGTTTTTCATCAGTTTTAGTAATATATTAGCCTGTGAATTTAACAGTGGTGTTATACTGATGGCCAGTCAGGACACACTTGCTGTCAAAAGAGCAGTACTTGGTCATAATTGATACGGCTATGTCACTAGTTGCTGCTTTTTTTGTTGGGTTTTTTTTTGTGTGTGTGTGTAGGGGATAGAGTTATTTAAAGATACTCATTGTGTTATGCTAAGAAAGCATCATCTTATACAAGACAAAGTGAGGACTGGGTCTAGAATTCAACCCTTAATACCATGCTGCTCAGGCCTTACTGTGGTGACTGTGAAGATGTTTTCTCAGATTTGGGTTATTTCTTTTACACAAGTTTTCCAGTGCAAGTGTATCCCTTCCCGAAATGTTGATAACAAAGTGCTGTCATCCGTTATCTGCTGTGTATGATAAGAGGTTAACTCTTCTCACTCAGGTATCTTAAAGGAAGAGTCAACAGTTAATGCCTTGAGCCTTGTTCTTTCATCTGTTTTTAAATAAGAGATCTCACTGAATTTGGAAATTGCTGAAATCACTGAAGAAATGAAATTTGTCCTTTGTTTTCTGTGCAGGAACTGACAGAAGAAGGCCTTCCTTTTCTCATACTTTTCCACATGAAAGATGACTTGGAGAGTTTAGAGAAATTCCAGCAAGAGGTTGCACGGCAGTTAATAGGTGAAAAAGGTTTGTAGTAACTCCTACTACTACTCGGTTTTACTGGTATAATTTTTTTCAGGCAACTCAGTAGAGTGGAAGCAAAGGCCAAACAGAATCCTAGCTTTAAAGCTCTTGAGACCAAAGGGCTTTATGCACTTCTGACAGTGAGGACCAACTCCTCTGGGAATGATTAAAAAAGATACGCAATTTATTAGTAAGTAACTGTTTCAGAAATCCTTCTTGTCTGAATGTGGTTTGAGAGGACATTAAACAAAGCTTCAGTTTGTAATACAGAAAAACCACTTTAAGAAAACCTGTTTGGTAGTGTTAGTTACTTAGGTCTATTTTAAGTTTTGCATGTTGTATCTGTCATCTCCACCTTTGTAATAGTTATGAAAGTGGTTAGGGTTTCAAGATAATGATAGGACAATCTTAACTTGTCATGTTGTCTGCTCACACTTTTAAGGTACAATAAACTTCCTCCATGCTGACTGTGACAAGTTCAGGCACCCACTCCTCCACATTCAGAAGACTCCAGCAGACTGCCCTGTTATTGCCATTGATAGCTTTAGGCACATGTATGTCTTTCCAGACTTCAGCGACTTGTCGTAAGTATTTTTCTTTGTACGTTTTAATTTGAGCAGAGCAAAGGAAAAGATGTGTGCTCATACTTTAATCAGTCCTATGGCAGGAAGATGAGTAGTCTGGGGTAGGTCAGGCTGCCTATGTGTGATTCAGTGTCAAGAGCCCTAAAGCAGTGTAACTTGGCATGAAGTCATTGTCTGAATGGAGTTGTATTGCATCATGCCAGAAAAGAATCTTGTGTTAAGTTTTTAGATGCTGGTCTTCTTTTATTTCAAAGTTTAGATATTTTCTGTAGTAGTTAGGCATTTGGAGCCCAGCATGGTATTTTTAGCAGTGATCTAGATATATCAATTAACTTTAAAAGATTTGAAATGCTACATGGAATGTATAAGTGCTGTGCTATGCAGTGATTACTGTAAAATGCACCATGTAAGAATTCCCAACCTACCGGTTTGGTTTTTCCTGCTGTGCAATTCTAGCCTTCCTGCATTAGTCTAAACCTGGAGAGCTGGCAGAGAAATCCTTATTGTGTGGGTTTCTGATATTTTCCGTATGCAACTTGGAAAATGGCCGATCACTGGCATGTTTATCTGGATGAAATATGTGAGTGTGAAGTATCAGGGTGCTTGGGTGAAATACCACTGTGATAATCCTTGCACCAGCCTGGATCTGTATGTTGCACTGCTGTGGAAGCAGATGTTCTGTCTTTCGTGGGCCAGTTGAGGAATGGAGATGTGTAAACATTCTCTTCAGGAGTTTTCAGCCCAAGACAAGTGCTCTTCTTTGTCTTCTGGTTGGGTGTTAAGCTCTAGTTCCTGTATCAAAGGAAGTACCTGCACATGCACTGCCTGTTAAGTCCTGGTTGGATGCCTGGGCTGGGCATTTCAGGTTTGTCAGAGCCAAGGATTCAAAGCTCAACCTTCACATACCATGTGAACATAATCCCATGTCTAATTTTGCCATTCCAGGAGGCATTTTTCTACCTGGAATGTTGACATTTGGAAGGAAGGTTTGAACTTAGCTTCTTTCTGTAATTCTCCACAGGTGTATTCTTAAAATGTGGTCTCTGATATATCTTAAATAGTTCTTTTCAAATACCTGAAGCTATGTATGTTGTAACTGCGATAGTGACTATTTGTCTCCCTGTGTTCCTGTTCTTTGGAAGATTATGTTCATGACACATGCCAGTGCTTAAAAAAAGTAGCAGGATAATTGCATTTAAAAAACACTGAGTTTGTCACTTTTGAAACAGCCCTAAAATAAATTAATATTTCTTCTAGAGGCAATATTTAGTTGAGGCTTTCATTTTGTTTCTTACACGTTCTGTTTCTGTGAAACACTGTCAGAATAACAAGAGCTGCTTGCTTGATGTGTACCAGTTGTTACATACAAATGAAGCTCAAAGAGAGATGTCAAGATTGTAGACAGTTGCCTAATGATAAATAATTATTCAGCCTTACTCTAGGAGGTTGAGCTGATACATAGAAATACCTAACAAACAGTTTGGAAACAAGGAGAGCTTGGAGCTCCTGGGGTGATAATCTTTTGTGTATGTGGTTTGGATTTTTGTTTTGGCTTGTTGTTGTTTCTTTGTTGGTCTGGTGTGTGTTTTTTGGTTTTTAATAATAGGTGAAACCTTAATTCTGGGGCTTTCATCTATCTGCAAGGATTTTTGCCACTTTAGTACATCTCCTGGACTCATTTACAGACTGGCCCCAGGCTGTCTCTTGTAATCTCAGTGCTGCCACCAACCAATGGGGTTTGGATATAGCACTTTCAGAACTGCCCCACTAAAAGATTTCCTCTCTTTAGGGAGTGTGTGGTCTTTTTGGAGAATAGGCACTTCATAGGCAAATGAGACTGTCACTCAATATTTTATCCTTGTACTTTGGCCACCTATTGTTCCAGGTTGGAAATGATAGCAGGGGGCATTCAACAGATCAGTTGCAGCTTCTCAGTGAAAACAGGCTGAGCTACATGAGGTTATAGGCACCAAGTGCCCTTGCTGCATTAGGAGAGGAGAATGTCTCCAGGGCAGGAGCCCAGGGTAAAGCAGGGAGCAGTAATTCTGCTGTCCCTATTACCAGGCTGGAATGAACCCCTTCCCTCCATCGTAGTAATTCCTGATTTTATCTGGGAAGAGACCCCTTAAAGTATCGGTGTAACACTGATTAGTTACATTGCTGTGGTGATACCCTCTGACTCTCTATTATGCTACATTTTATCCACAGAGATTTTTGGTGGTGTGAAATATGGCTGATAGCTTGTCTGACCACACTTTGTTTCTCTCTCCTAAATGTAATAATTGGTTTGATGAAAGACTCCCTACAAAACTTGACTCCATTCACATATGACCTTTTGATTGCATGCATAATGCTCATATTACAGCTTCTCATCTTTAATACTTCCTAGATCAACTCTTTACTTTGAGACTTTTGGTCTATTTGACATTTCACAAATAAAATTGGATGCTGTAGTTTAGCATACTTGCTGTGGGTGACAGTAGATGATCTCAGATTAGATTTACATTGATATCCTCTTACTGCTTATCTCTGGTGTATATGCAGTTGCTGAGGCACTAGAGAGCCTTTCAAAGATGTTTTGTCAATACTGCTGCCCAAGTGTCATTTGTATCTGTAAACTGTGCATTTGGAACCTGCTGTTCCCTCTTACATTATGGTTAGTGGGGAGCTGAAGTGAGTACACAATGAAGTTATTGGCTGCTACAACTCTGTGGGAGTTATTGAAAAGATGAAATACTTGCTGTGTTCTCAAGAGACAGTGGAAAGAAAAAGAAGCTGGTAGGATACCTTAGCAAGCCATTTGGCTTCCTGTTCTCTATTAATCACCTAAAAGTGGGCATAGTGTGCTAGATAAACAGAAGTTGGTGACTCAAAACAGTGTACTTTAAATCTTCTGTGTTTGGACTGAACTTGTAATGAACATGTGGGTGTTTCTGTTGGATTTGTTCCAGAGTTCCAGGTAAACTGAAGCAATTTGTACTAGACTTGCATTCTGGAAAATTGCATAGAGAGTTTCATCATGGCCCTGATCCAACTGATGTAGCACCTGGTCAGGTAATGTTACAACCAATGCATTTAATTTGGCCGTTTAGTAAACACTTTTTTATTACTTGTCAGAGCTGTACTTTCTAATGTGTTTGTACTTTTAACTTCTGTCTCCTGAAAGAGAAGTTTGTTTACAGAAACATAATGTTGCCACTTCTGCTTGGCTCTTCCTTTCACTTTTTTTGAGTAAAGGCAGGGAGAGCATTAGACCTGTTTGCCTTGAATCAGGGCAGAGTATAAGAATGTATATTTTTCTCCACTGAAACAGAAGATCTTGGGCTCAATGACTCTTCTGACCTCATAGAGCAGCTCTTATGTGACTTAGTTGATTCTCATGTGACTTAAGTGCAAAAGCTGATAACACATAGCTGCACTATTTCCCACATGACATACTCTGAGGTGCTTCCAAGTGGGAAGAACAATTGATTGCATGTTTTATATATTTACTGAAAGTCACCCATCCATGCAGGAGGCAGATTATTAGAGCATCAACAAAAGACTGATAAGCACTAATAGGCCTTATTGCTTTTATTAATGCAGTTAACAAATGGCATTAGTAGTGCTCACAGGCTGCACTTGTCAGCTTGTGTTCCTCATGGTTCTGCTCAAAGGTTGTCATGGTGTGTAATTACATGCTTGGAAGTCAGTTCTGGGGTCTGTTTAGGAACACAACTACTTGATCTTCCTCCAGATGAAACTCAGGAGCAGCTCAGTGTTTGGTTTAATCCAAGAGGCAGAAAAGAAGGGACATTACCAGCCCAAATTCCTTCTCTACAGCAGTGTCTTCTAACTGTCTTTATCAGCCTTGTATCTTCTTGATACACCACTGAGCTCATATGCTTAGTGTCATGCTGAAAAGTGCAAATGTAACAGCCTGTCAGGGAACATTTTCCTTACCTCAGGCACCCTCTAAAGAAGTAACTGTTTTAAACACTTCAAAGAAGTTACACATGGCATTGTCTAGGGCTCAGAGCCACTCTGGTCCCAGAGACCTGATGCCCTTGTGTTGGGGTGCCTTGGGCCGTGACAGAAACTGTTCATAGCTACAGGCTCATTTTCCTGGTCATCTGTGGGATGTGGTAGGGGTGGCACTGCACTAAGCCGACTGAGTGCAGTCTCCTGTTGCCCTGCGCAAAGTTAAAAGATTTAAAAGCGTGAAAGCCCTGGAGGGCTGACCTTGGGCCTGGCTTGCCTTGGGCCAAGAGGATGACTGCTTTTTTACGTTGTCATGATTGGCTGTGAAAACATGTGGGCTGGACCATCTTAGCAGTAATTCATTTAACTAGTAATTCCCTGTGTTTCTCTGGAATTCACTGAGCAACCAGAATTCAAGTCAGCAGGTGGAAGTGCAGTAATAAGGGCTGGAGACTGAGGTGCAGGCCCAGCAGTTGGTCAGCTAGGAGGCAGACAGGAAGGTGGCATGAGGAGGAGACACTCTGAGGCACTTGCTGTGAGGAGGAAGCTTGGCCAGGGAGGGGGGGAAGCCTGTTGAGTCCCTGGATCCTGCTGCCTCCCTCTCTGGGCACAAGCTCATAGCCTAGAGCTGCAGGCTTGCTGTTGTCTCCATCCTGCCCTGAGAAAGGCACACAAACCCTGGGATGTTTATGTTCTCATCTCCATATGGCATCCTGCCATCTTGTGGAAGATGTGGATGCAATGGAAGTACTGGCCTCAGCTAAAGTGGAGGTTGTCATAGGTCATCAATACCCCTTGAATTGCATGGGGTTTTTTTGTGTTGGGTTTTTTAGTTTCCATAGAAAACTAATTCTGAAGTATTTTGGCAGCGATGGTTCACTTTTGCCTTGGTGTATCCCGTAAAACACATGCAAAGTAGAATACTCTCAAAACAAGTGGTAGACAGACTCAAACCAATATACAGTGGGGTAATTTGAAATACTTCTAAGTGGCTTGTACAGAAATTTGTGTGATGGCTGTTACTTTGAGATGTGCCAACGAAAGGAATATCCTTAACTGAAGGTGCTTAATTAATGTGTGTGTGTGTTCTACTGACTTGGGACTTATAATGTGCCTTCCAAAAAAAAACCCAATTTGTGAGAATGCTGGACATTTGTGTACTCCCATAATTAATGCCAGAAATTCATTTAATGGAGGTGACAGATTATTAAAATTAATCTAACAAACGATTTTACTGTTTGTTCTGTTTTTCAGCCAATTCAGGATATAGCAAGCAGCCCACCAGAGAGCTCATTCCAGAAACTGGCACCCAGTGAACATAGGTACACCTTATTGAGGGAAAAAGATGAACTTTAAAAACTTGAAATGATCTTGCAAGCCTTTCAGACAGCAGCATTGACTTCTGTGTGGTGGAAATAGTAAACCTATATTTTCATAATTCTATGTGTATTTTTATTTTGAATAAACTGAAAAATAATTTTTTTCTCCCCAGGCTTGTAAATACATTTGTTTGGTGGGTCATTCTGTACAGCATCTTTCAAACAGTACGTTCTTAATGCTATAGTCAAATATCAGAGACCCATCCAGACTCTTGATCTAACTCTGTTCTGTAAAACTTTTATAATCCAAATGAAGGTATCCTTGCCAGAGACATGCTGTTAACTTGCACTATCCCATTAAATAGGACTTTTGGGTTGTTTTCCGTGTAACCTTGGTAGTATGTGCTTTTTCTTCCTCATGTGAACAGCTATCCTGGTAATCTATTTCTTTGTCACATTTTTCTCCAACTTAAGAGGGTCTTCTATTCTGGATACTTGGGAGGGGAATAAATTAAAGTTTTACAGAATCTCGTGTGGTGCTTTACTGGCTGTAAATGTCTAAGCAATTAAACAATCCGGAATATTAAAACAGCAAGTGAGGAAAGGAAAGGTTGTAATGATAATGGCTGTACTTGGAGGGACTGGACTGACCTGCTCTGATTTCCTGGAATTAAGATTCTTATGTTACCCACATAGTTGTGTTAAAAGAAATGAATGTTGGAAACCCTTCCAAGTAAGAGAGGACATGGGCTGGACTAGCATCTGAGTTGTGTCAGTCCTAAGTCAGTATCTGTATGTATGTTACCATTAGTCTTGGGTGGGGGTTGTTGTTTTGTTTTCCTCTGAGTCCCTGCCTTCCTGGCAGACACTTACTTTTTGAACAACCATTGCATGTTGTCTGTTTTACTCTCTTTTGTCTGGCTTGTGCCTTATTGCATCGTCTTTGAATTCTGCTGTGAAGAAGGAATTACCAGTTTCCTTGTGGGCTTTTCTGTTACACACTACACCAGAATATGAGCTTTTTCCTCATTGAGTCTTCAAGCTGCTGGGTGAGATGGACATAGAGAAGCTGTAAGATGGCAAAATACCTGTTAATTTGTGGTGCGTTCTTGGAGATGAATTAGTATTGGATTTTTGACAGTACACTTCTTAACGAAGGTTTAGTGTCCTTAGAAACAAGACTGTTCTCTGGACAGGTGGACCTCTAGGTTCAGGTTTACTTAGAAGAGCCCCAGATTGTGCAGTCACTGTTCAGGATCCTTTTGCCTCTCAGGCAGATGTCACCTGCTCAGTTATTGACAGAAGACTTCCATGGTCTGGTGCAGCTGTGGCAAAAGTTGAGCCCAGGACAGCTTCCTGAATGGAGCCCCTGCAGCACCAGGCACTGGAGCTTTCTAGGGAGCAATGCTGATGACCTACAGCTAATGGAGCAGCTGCAAAGTTGACAGTATTGCAAGGCTTTGTTTACAGACATACTTTTTTGTTGGTTTTGAGTCAGCATTTTGGAGTGCACATGAAGTGCTTGAAAAGCCAGGCCTTCTCCTGGCCTGTTCTCCATCTCATGCCAAATCAGGCTTTTTTGGCAGCACAGTCATACCACCTTCCAGTTGGAATCTGAAGATCTGAGCAGGGTGTGGTTTTAAGGCTGCTACAGAACTTCTGGAGTTCATCAAGCACCTCCATGGTGCCTGCAAGTACTCACCTTACTCCTCTGATGCTCCTGTTTTTCCTGGGGATTCTTATTTATGAATGCTGTCTGGTGCAAGATGTCTAAACCTCCCTTTCCAGAGAGAGATGCTACCTCATCCCTCGAACAGTGGATGGTGCTTTCACCTAGACAGTGAAAGAGATGAACCTCCTCTGCCATTCCTCAGTTCAGGTTTGCTTTTCTGAGTAAGTCTTGTTCCCAGAGCTTTGGCATCCCAGCACTAGGTGGACAACTAGATGTAACAGTTCTATGACAGTTAGATGCTCAAGTAGTTTCAGTGTGCATTAATTGCAGTTGGACCTGATTCTCCTGGGTTCTTGAGGATCATTGACTGGCTGTAACAGTATTCAGGTGATTTTTCTATTTGCAAGCAGAAGGTTGAACAGCTAAAGCCTAACTATGTTTGCCTAACGTTATGCTGAGTGTCACTTGAGCTTTTACATGACTGGTGACACAGAGAATTGGCCTGGAGAGAGCAAGTGCTGGATGAAATCAGAGTTGTGTTTCGAACCAAGCCCTTCAGCTCTGATCATCTACATCTGTGCATTTAACCATTTGGTGCTCAGCTAACCACTCCCTTTAACACTTCTCAAGGCTTTCCTGGGAAGTTGTCAAAAATAATAGTATTTACCCCATATGGAACAAAACCATTCCAAAGTCTTTAACTGAACTTCAGATGTCCATTTTCTGAGCCAGCAGGGGTGTATGAGTTACTAGATACTTGTGATATTTCAGGAACTTGTATTCATTTCAGTCTGCAAATATTTCAATAGCTGAAGCATGTGTTTGGTAACTCAGCACAGGGTTCTTAAACCTTGGTAATGCAATTATTTCCATAATATAAAATTATTAAACTCCAATGTTCCCAGTAAATGCTACAACCAGTCTCATTGGCAAAACCTTTTATTTGGTCTGAAAGAATTATTTATATCTTACATTTCTTCTGACTACCATGCCTAGCAATTTAAATGCTAGTTTGGTTACTCAGATGCTGATGTTTCTTCACATATGTAAATAACCCACCCATTTTAAAAAATCATAGCTTAAATAATAGTCTCCCACATCTAGTGTGAACACAGTGCCTTGAAATTGCTTCCTTAAAGATGCAAGGGGGAAGAATAGTTTTCGTGCTAGACATTTCAGAAAATGAGTTCATACCAAGCTGAATTTGTATAAACTGGGGAAGGAATTCAGTCTTATGAATTTAGATTGTCCTGGCATTAGTCCAGCTTGGGGGGAGAGGATGGAGTCTCCAACACTGCTGCTGTGGCTTCTGTCATTTACATCCACAAGGGTCACAGCATACAGTAGGAAAGCAGACATTGCTTTTTAAAATCAGACAAGGAATCAACCACAGTTGCTGATTAAGAACACTTGCTTCTCTCAGTTTCTTCCTTTTAATGTAGAAAATAAATATCAAAGGATTGAAGAGCCTTAGGAGGAAGTTGTTACAAGCTGATTAACTGTGTTTACATCTGCAGTAGGTGTATTTAAAGAAAAGCACTTTTTGCCTGTCAGGAGCAAATGAGCTGAATTACTCAGGTCATGTTTTGCACTCCAGCTGATGTTACAAATGCAGACACCGTGGCTTTAACAGATGCCATTTGGCAACGTCTGCAATTACCTGTGAAAACTATTCTTGCACCCATTGCTTCCCTGAGCCTCAGACCTACTTAAAATAGACAGCAATTTCAGTATTTTAAAAGTAATAAGGAAGAACTGTTCAGAAGAAGTAATTTGTGCTGTAACTAACAGTTGCTTACAAGGTCTCTAGGCACAAAACACATCATCTGCCCTTAGCAGACAGTGATTTCCAGTGATGATATCAAAGTACTGGTTAGCACAAGGGAGCTCTTTCTCTAGGACACTTCCTGGGCCAGTGTTCCCTGCTAGAGAGCCTTAATCACTAAACACTGACTTCAAGGTGCATCTCATAAAACTGGACTCAAGCAGAGCTCAGGATGAATTCACCAATCTAAACTTTAAAAGCAGCTTCCCAACCTCAATTTCTGCTCTTCCAGACAATAGCAACAGTAGTGTTGTAACTGTCCTGAAAGGGTGGAGGTAGGACCATGTGCCAAACTGTAGATTATGTGACCACAAAAACACATTAACACTTCCATATTTAACAATGAAAGTTTCAGAAGCAAAAGGCTTCTTAAGCAGCAAAACAGGATGGTAAGATAACAGGTATCCACTATAAAAAGCAAGCAAAAGCACTACCAGCATCTCACCCCATACAAGTTCTGCAGCATGTCCCCAAATCTTGAAAAGGCTCAGCAGCTACTCTGCAGTGTGGGTTGAAGTGGAAGCTTTGGCACCTAATGGTACACAAGAGGTGTGCAGCTGCCCCAGACAGGTCTGATTTACTTTGTAAACAGTACCAGGTTGACATTTTCGACAGTCTCATCCTCTGGGGATGCCAACTGGCACCATGCAAGGGGCTTTGCTGCTTCACTGTCGGTTGACCTGGTGCCTACTGCCACCCTTGAGGGATAATGGACTATTGAGGGATCAGGCCTTGCTGCAGCACTGTCTTCCAGGGAAGTTGTTCAGCTCTCCCACCGGAGCACTGTGCGTTCCAGGAGTCAAGAAGCAAGGGCAACATCCTGCAGTAAGTGCTGCTTAAGCAAGGTGAGGTTTCCAGTTCAGAAGGCCAGAGCTTGGCTCTTCATCCTGTGTGGTGGTTCTCAGGACAAGCCAAGGAGTTGAACAGCTATGGAAAAGTATGATTCCCCAGTAGAGTCCTGCAGGGTTGCTGCTTAGACTGTTTGATTCATAACTACACTTGGAGCAAGGTGAAGAGTTTACAAATTTTAAAAAAAGGTCACCTGATAAAGAGGAGAAGCTGCCTCCAATGCTGATCTGATATGGCTGATGGAGGCAGGTATGATATGTACGTAGTTTTTTTTTTCCATACTGCTCACCCAACACTTTCACCTTCTCTTACGACAGCTGATGCTTCCCTGTGCATTACTGAGCACACATAGTCTGTCATGTCCCAGGGATGTACACACAGGAAGAGTTTGGGAATCCAGATAAATTGAAAGTAAATTTAAAATACTATGACCAAGAAAGACTGTGACAGCCTTTATTTCCTTTTCTCTGGGGCACTACTATAAAAGATCCAGCTTCTCATGGCATTCATGGGAAAGCACTAGGGTTTTCCAAGGATCTCTGTCTTGTCTGTAAGTCACTTTGTGCAAATTTGGCATGAAGCACCTGTCACCCATGATTACAACTGTGCATATAGCTCACTCAAGGAATTTATAATTAAAAGTTATCCATATAATTTTCAAAGGCCTGATGTCACCACATCCGAAAAGAGGAATTCTGACATGACTGTTTCAGCCCTCCCAAGGAGCAGTACTTTTGTCAACATTCACACATCTCAGCCTTGTAGTTAAAGCATAAGGCTGCAAGTCTGTCATTAGTGTGGCTACCACACTATTGTTCCTAGTCATAATGAATCTATCCTTCAGCTGGATTTTTTGGCACTTTGGTGAGAAAGCTCTGGACAGCTGGAAGAGACCTGCTCAATCATTCTTTGTTTTTTCCTTTGTATCAATTTTCCACCTGTGAAACCCAAAATTCCACCACCAACTGCAGCTGCAATTCCTGCCACTTTGAAGCCTGCAAGGAGGCCAATAGGACCCCCCACCACTCCACCAATGACTGCACCTGCCACAGGCAGAGCTGCCAGCTTGTATTTCGCAGCCTGGAAAGGAAAAACAAAATAGTTAGAATACTTGCCTGTGGCGATGTGCATTTTCCCCTCACTGCTCCTGGCAATGACTTGAATGCTCCGTGATAAATAAA